CTACAAGGGAATACCCATACGACTGTCAGCTGATTTCTCAACAGAAACTTTGCAAGCCAGAAGAGAGTGGCAAGAAATATTCAAAGTGATGAATGCCAAGAACCTACAACCAAGACTACTTTATCCAGCAAAGCTATCATTCAGAATTGAAGGTCAGAGAAAGAGCTTGACAGGTAAGGAAAAGCTAAAGGGGTTCATCACCACTAAACCAGTATTATATGAAATGCTTTTAAGAAGTATCTTTTAAGAAGAGGAAGAAGAAGAAAAAGGTAAAGATACCAGGAGGCAGCTGATCGATGTTTCTCTCTCATTGATGTTTCTAACTCTCTATCTCTGTCTCTTCCTCTCTGTAAAAAAATCAATAAAACATATTAAAAAAAAAAAAAACCAATACTAATGCTACTTAGTTTTCATGGTTGTGAAAATTAGTTTTTTAAAAGTGTGAAGTGTTTAGAATAACACTTGGTTCATAGAAAGTAATAATTTACTGTTACTATTGTGATTATGATGATTATTACAATCTCCCTAGATTTCATGAGTTAACATATAAAAGTGCTTGTAAACTATTAGGACATAATGTGTTAGAAGTGCTAGAAAATATTAACACTTCATTTAAATCAGGGGTCCTCAAACTTTTTAAACCGGGGGCCAGATCACTGTCCCTCAGTCTGTTGGGAGGGCCGGACTATAGTTTAAAAAAAAAACTATGAACAAATTCCTATGCACACTGCACATATCTTATTTTGAAGTAAAAAAACAAAACGGGAACAAATACAATATTTGTATTTGCATGTGGCCCGCGGGCTGTAGTTTGAGGACCCCTGATTTAAATCTATTCTCATGGGAACATCTACTTAAAAACTGGATCTATTCCTATTGAGCAACCAACACCTACTGAGCAATTGCTAAGGGCTAAGCACTGGCCAAATGCTTTCCATGGATTTAAAAATTTATATTCAATCTTTCAAACTAAATTCAAAGCAATTATATTCTATTTTAATCACATTGTTTTATAATATTGCTAACCCTTATTTTTACAATACAAACAAGTGGAGTGACAAAATTATGTGGGTAGAAAATAGGAATGGTTAAGAGGTTTACTTAACTCCCTAAGTAACAGAGAGTGGGTCATAAATCTGTATGTTTCAACACAAAACAGCTAACTAAACTTCTCAAAACTGATTTCAATTTGAGCAGAGTTTCATTCAAAGAACTATGATGAATCACGTATTCCAGCCTCTTGTCCCTATTACTATCATTTACGATTCATGAGATTCTAGAACTCTCTCTAGAATCTTTTAACACTACCAAAAGGCATATTTATCAGCTCAAACTAAAAGCTATCAAGTGAAATATTTCCCCAGAATCATTTAAACTCCACATTCAGAAAGGTGAGGTCAAAATTCCTGAAAACTAACATCCTTTCAATAAAAGGGAGAGTGCTGTTTATCTACAATACTTATAAACATGGAGATCTCTCTACAATATATTAAATGAAAAAAAAGATTGAGCCTTGCTGGCATGGCTCAGTGGTTGACCGTCAACCTATGAACCAGGAAGTCACGGTTAGATTCCGGTCAGAGCACATGCCCGAACTGCAAGCTCGATCAGTAGAGGGCATACAGGAGGCAGCTGATCAATAAAAAATACACAACTCATACTTTTACTTGTTTTTATCTTATCTGCTAGGAGGCTCAAAACTAAATTACAAACTTTAACTAGTCTAGGGTTCTGGTGTGTCTACCAACATTTTATGTGGCTCTTGATCTTTTGTATATCTAGCACAGAATTATACTTATACTAGAGACCCAGTGCACAAGATGTGGCTCCCTCAGCCAGGCCTGTGTCCTCTCAAAGTCTGGGACCCCTCAGGGGATGTCCACCTGCTGGCTTAGGCCCGCTCCCTGGGGTATCGGGCCTAAGCTGGCAAGTCAAACATCCCTCTGGCAGCCCGGGAGCCCTCGGGGGATGTCCATTTGCCAGTGGGGAGAAGGCCTAAGCTGCAGTCGGACATCCTTAGCACTGCTGAGGAAGCGAGAGGCTCCTGCCACCACCGCTGTGCTGGCAGTCATCAGCCTGGCTCGTGGCTGAGCAGAGCTCCCCCTGTGAAAGCGCACTGACCACTAGGGGGCAGCTCCTGCATTGAGCGTCTGCCCCCTGGTGGTCAGTGTGTGTCATAGTGACCAGTCATTCCCAGACTTTCTGCTGTTAGGGTCAATTTGCATATTACCCTTTTATTATATAGGATACATCCAACTGCTTCATAATAAGATTTAAGACAGCTATTGCCAATGCTGAGAATTTGAATTAAAGTCACGTTCTGGCCTGCCTGGTGTGGCTCAGTTCAGTGGCTGAGTGTCGACCCATGAACCAGGGGGTCACAGTTCAATTCCCAGTCAGGGCACATGATTAGATTGTGGGCTAGATTCCCAATTGGAGGCATGCAGGAGGCAGATGATCAATGATCTCCTCTCATCACTGATATTTCTATATTTCTCTCCCTCTCCTCCCTCTCTCTGAAAGCAATAAAAACATACACTTTTTAAAAGTCACATTCTGTATAGATGCTCTGCCACAGCAACAAGCCATAAAGTACTTAAATGACAACAAATACTACAGAAATTTATTCAACTTAATTTTCAAATTAGAAGATTGAGGCAAATGAGAATGGCTTTAAAAAAAAAAAAAGGTTTCATTTCTGCTGAAGAAAATAACTTAAAATTATGCAACCATAATGAAAATATTGAGTTTTAAAAATTTGTTTGCTTGATTTTACTTACCATGTTTTTTCAAAATTAATAGGGTATTTTAATTATAACAAAAAGACTTACATACCTTATGTAAACAAGTGTCCACCACCCAATTGCACACATTTTCCAGGTCATCAGATACCGCAAGCCTAGATTTAACAAAATCACAGAGCTCCTCATTACTCATAACATCCCAGATCCCATCACAAGCCAAAACGATAAATTCATCATCTTCTGCTCTCAAAAGTTCATAAACCTCAGGCTCTGGAGAAACTAGTTGTTCTGTTGGGCCCTTGCCATCAACACACTTGTAATCATAGTCCCCCAGAGCACGAGACACTGCTAATGAACCATTAACACGCTGTATCATTACGCTGCCTCCTGCATTTTGGATACGCTCCTTCTCCCTTGGATTGCAAGGCTTGTGATCCTGGGTGGAAAAGCAGACTTGTCCATTCCTACACAGAACAGCACGTGAATCACCACAGTTGATAAAGTAGACATGCTTCGGTGAAATCATAACTCCCACTGCAGTTGAACCACTCCTGTCCATTCCATTTCTGAGGTCTGAAAAGTTACGCATGAATTCATCAATTTTCAAAAAGCCAGTTCTGATACCATTCTTGACATTTTCCACTGAAGGCTCATGAGCAGATCCTGATTTTGCAGCTGCCCTGAAGTCTTCATTATTAGTGATGTGTTCTAATAAATGTGTTGAGCAGTAATTTGCCACTCGGGATCCAGCATGACCATCATAAACTGCAAAAAATGACCAGTCTTCCAAGCCGTGAGGAATACCTACAACAGCTGTGTGTGCGTCTTCCATTTCCACTCTCCATCCTTGCATGCTGCTCAGGCCATAACGTAAACCATTCCCAGCACCATGAGCATTATGTTTCTCAGTTTTGGGTTTATCCAAAAATGCACCCATGTTTAATAATTAATCTGAAAGAAAAAATTTTATAGGTGTTATATATTTAAATCTGACAAGAGAATTCACCTATACTATCTCATATATTCTCTAGTAACTCCTATCTAAGTATATTTTTCAGATTTATCTGAATTTACTAAACAGAAAACACACACACACACACACACACACACACACACACAGGAAAATTTCCCTGCACATCCCTTTTCTACAACAATGGTTTCGAAATCCTAGCACATTACAATCATCAAACCAATTAAATCAGAATCTCTAGGGATGGGACTCAGATATCAGTAATTTTTTAAAGCATATCTGGTGCTTCATATGTGCAGCAAGTTGAGAACCACAGTCCTAGGAGGAAGGAAAACCAAGAAACAAAACGTGGTTAAATTTTTTTTTTTATAATTCAACTTATACGATAACTCTAGGGTTCAATATATAGCACAAGAAATAAAAAGTAATGCTCTCTTGATCAGATGAGGAAGAACAGGAAGAGTGTGGGTGTGTGTTTGGGGTACAGGGGTGAAAGTGGTAAATCTCATCTTCGGTAATGGGATAAATAATTCCTAAAACTGGAGGGAAGGGGAATCAACAAGCACATTATTTAGAGATTTGAAGATAAACTCCAAAGAAATCAGGAACTAAGATTTAGAAATGGTTGGTTCTGGTGAATCTCCATGGCCTTACAGAACTATGTTGTTCTTTAAACTATGTCAATGCTTATTAAAAAGTTAAATTAAAGAAGCCTGAAGTAAAACAATAGCATATTACATGGAAAGATTTAAGGAACTGCATTTCAAATCATAAGCTAATCTCCCTAATATAAAGGTCCTATAAGAAAACGACTAAGGTGATAGAAAAATGGACCAGAAACACCCCCCACAAATGGATCTTAAAATATGTCCAACCTCATATTCATAAAATAAATGAAAATTAAGAATACACTGAGATATCAATTTCATGGGTCAAACTAGCGAAGATCAAAGGTTTGGTAATCATTGTCTCCATGAGATTATGCAGAAACACACACTGCTGATATCATTAAACTGGTACAATCTCAGTAAAGGAAATTTCATAAAATCTATCCAAAATAGCAATTGCACATATTCTTCAACCAAATTCTAAGAACATATAGGTTTACTCCTATATATACAAATATTCACTACAGCACTGTTAGAAAAAGTAAAATATATAAAACTATCTTAGCTAAGCAAAGTAAGCCATTTGGACAAAAATAAGTATCACATGGTCTCACTCATTTGTGGAATGTAATGAACATAAAATGATGAACAAAAAGAGACAAAGGGAAAAAAATATTTTAGAATATAACAGAAGTAATCCTATTATTTGCAGATTTTTAATATTTCCTACAACTTTTATGGTATTATGTTAGTACAGTTTTGGTAATATTATATTTAAAATATTTTCTCTTAAAATATTAATGTTTATTGCATGTAATATTATATTTAAAATTGTTTTTCTTGAAATATTAATGCTTATTGAATGTAAATGGCTAATTGTTTTTTATCTACAATCTTGTAATAAATTTATTTTGTATATTGTAAAAATAAATAAACCATCTTAGTATCACCCATTTGGGAACTGATTAATAGGAGAATCAAGATTCATAGTCTCCCTTCTCACTACTGCATTTGACTAGTCAAAAAAAAAAAAAAAGATTCATAGTTAATGATATGTAGGTAAAACGTAATAGCCTATAATTTAAAAATATATATATGTGTGTGTGTGAGCATGCACACAAATATACACATTCATTTCCTAGAAGAAACACAGAACTGGAACCTCTGGGGAAGAGAAATCAAGAGGCTGGAAGACAGGAATAAAAGAAATTCTATTATATAGTAGAGGGCCGATGCACAAAATTTGTGCAAGGGCCTTAGCCTCGGCCCCTGGCCTCCGTGGCCTCGGCTGTTGGATACTTTTTATGGCGATGAAATTTAAATTGCAGGACAGATAAGAGAAATAACTACCTAAATAATTTCATTCTCTCTTTATTCCTTCATAAGTACAAATGACAGCTACTATGTCCAAAGGTACCTTTAGTTGCTTGAATCCATCTCTATAGTATAATGGCAGCAGACTGCCAAGAGGTGTGGTCAGAAAGCAAGCCCTTCAGGGACAACCAGGTGACTATCTGAAAGGGCTAACGGTCCTCTCACCTCTTGTTATTTCAATTGATTTTTGCTCCAGAGGATTATTGTAATAAGTAACCAAAATATGCTTTTATCTTGTTTGAGGCACTTAGGAATAAGCAAATACTTCCATAGTGCTCATTCTGTGGCATGCACTGCTTAAATGCTTCACAAATATTAACTCATTTAAATTCTACCCTTTAGAAAAATTAATATCAATAAAGCAAACAATTCTCAAAGAAATATTCAGCCAAAAATCTTTACAAAGTAAATTATTAAAATTTCAACAAAGGACATTCAGATACTACAAAATTCCCATTCTCCTTTCTACAGCTTGCACACTTTTCTAAAGGAGCCACATGGACATTGGGCAAGCCTTGCTTAAAAAGAGCAATCTGTCAATCCCATCTGCTTCCTATCAAAAAGGATGAAGTGGTGTCAGGAATGATTTAGGCCTATGGACAAGATTTTTTCCTAAGGGTTTCTGTTCTTTTGACTAAAAAGTAACATATATAGCAATAATAATAGTGCTTAGGTTTTTTTTGTATGAGCTCTGTAAGCCAGGCTTTATATTAAGAGATTGATGTTCATTATATCATTTATATCAAACAACAATTTAGTAAAGTTAGTACTATGAATATCTACACTAATACAGAGAAAGATGCAAATTGACTACACCTTCACAAAGCCCACCAGCCAATCAGGAGTGAGTATGCAAATTAACCCAACAAAGATGGTAGGTTAATTTGCATACAGTCGCCAAGCAGCTAGGGGCATTCCACACAGCCCCAGCCGCTCAGGGCCTCTGGGCAGCGTGGGAAGGCAAAGGAAAGAATGCAGAAAGGTGGCTTCAGGCCTCTGGGCAGCGTAGAAAGGTGGAAAGGCGGTTCCGGGCCAGAACAAAGGCAGAAAGGCGGCTCTGGCTGGAGAGAAGGTGGTGCCGGCATCCAGGGGAAGGAAGGCCCATTCTTGCACAAATTTTCATGCATCAGGCCTCTAGTTATACTAATTTGTGCATCAGTGGGGCCCCTCGGCCTGGCCTCCAGGATTGGCCGAAACTGGCTCTCTGACATCCCCCGAGGGATCCCAAATTGCGACAGGGCGCAGGCCAAGCCGAGGGATCCCACCAGTGCATGATTGGGGCCAGGGAGGGATGCAGGAGGTTGGCCAGCCAGGGAGGGACCGCAGCAGGGCTCCAGGGCGTGTCTGGCCCATCTGACTCAGTCCTGATCAGCTGGACCCCAGCAGCAAGCTCACCTACTGGTTGGAGCACCTTCCCCCTGGTGGTCAGTGCATGTCATAGCAACTGTTCGACCAGTCAACTATCTACCTCCTGGTGGTCAGTACACATCATAGCAAGCGGTTGAACGGCCTTAGCACATCATTAATATATTACATTTTGATTGGTTGAACGGCTGACCGGATGATCAGACACCATATTAGGCTTTAATTATATAGGACTAAGAAAACTGAAATACCTAGTGTACCCAGATAACAAAATTTATGTAGCAAGTCATAATTCAAACAAAAGCAATAGCCTAGAACTGGCATTCTCATTTCACAGCTTAAGTGATTAATGCATTTTGAAGCGTTTTTTATTCTTTTTAAGAATCAAAATAGTGATATATAAATGTTTGCAGATTCAAAAAGCAAGGGTACCAAATGTAATGTGGTACCCAGATTGGACCCTAGCACAGAAAAAGAGAATAGAAAAACTGGTAAAATCCAAATAAAACTGGACTCGATGTACGTTGTTTCATGGTTACCTTGCCATCTCCCATTTATTTATTAAAAAAAAAAATCCATCATTTCAATGTGTGTACATATGTGCTTTATGTTTTTTATTATTTATTTACCGCAAGTAAAGGTCAGGAATTGTTATCTTTCTTTTAAATTTTTTTTACTGTTTCACTTCATTACTGCTGTGTATGTGCTCCATGTGAATGATGTAGGTGCTTATGCAGGTAGGTTCCCACTTATGGCAAAAATCGCATTACGTCGCGCCAAAGGAACGGATCTCCAACGTAACCTGTAACCCAAGGGCCTACTGTAGTACAAATAATGGTTTTTTAGTTTAGACAAATACACCACAGTAATGTAAGAAAACTAGTATAGAGGGGTACTAGCCTGTGACTTTCTATACATCTAGAATTATTTCAAAATTAAAAGTTTATTTAAAATATTAAAGTAACAGGTAAGCCTCAGTTAGCAAAAACTTTATACCAACCAATATGGTGCAAGGATTATAAACTGGCTATGGAAAAATCTCTCTACCTGTGATTTTGCCAATCCCAGCTCGGAAATGCATCCTAAAAATGCCAAGATTATATAATAATTAGAACTCTGACCCAATATTCTACTTCTGAGAAGTTATTCTAAATAACCCAAACTGTACATAAATATTATTTTAAAAGATTAAAATGGTTATATATTTGGAAATCAGTAATGTAAAATTCACCATAAAAGATCAAAAGAGAAAAATCTTTGTGCATAATGATGTTCATTAGAGTGCTACTTATACTGAAAATAAAAACAATTTGTATTTCTAACAATAGAAGAATGGAGTAAATGTATAACTGGTTTCTCAACCAGGGGAGATTTTGTCCCCCAGAGGGCATTTGGCAATGTTTAGAGACATTTTTTTATTGTCACAACTGGCATGGGGAGGGAGTGGAAGGGAGAACTACTGGCATCTAATTAGTAGAGGCCAGGAAGGCTCTAAAACATCCTATAATGCACAGGCCATCCCTGCAGCAAAAAATTATCAATGATGTTGAAGCTAATAAAACCTCGCCTACAGGATAAAGTATTATACAGCCATGGTCTACTAAGAATTTAGAGAAAACATATTTTCAATTTAG